TATGGATATCCTGTATATCTCTTCATCAATACCCAGTGAATATTGTGACTTAGAAAAAAAAATTGGCCAAGAGATTGAGCTTCTAAGTTTAATGTCCTTTTTTCTATTACTCTTTCTCACTCTAGTCGAAAAAGAGAAGTATATTTATACTCAGATATTGTGTTCTTCAAAAGAGAGGCTAAGTATCATCCTGCATCTAAGTTAACCCTAGACAAAGTTTGATTCAGCAAGATTTGTCTGTGGCCCTATGCATTTTCTTTTTGCACTATCATTTTATGCTTTTAAAACATATTTTCTTAGCCAGGTGCCATGGCTCATGCCTGTAATACCAGCACTTTGGGAGGCCAAGGCGGGAGGATCATGAGTTCAGGAGATTGAGACCAGCCTGGCCAACATGGTGAAATCCTGTCTCTACTAAAAATACAAAAATTAGCTGGGTGTGGTGGTGCATGCCTGTAATCCCAGCTACTTGAGAGGCTGAGGCAGGAGAATTGCTTGAACCAGGGTGTCAGAGTTTGCAATGAGTCACGATCATGCCACGGCACTCCAGTCTGGCAACAGAGTGAGACTCTATCTCAAAAAAGCAAATGAACGAAAGAAATGTATTTTCTCCCTTCCTTCCTGCATTTCCTAAATATATGCCCTTCATTCCTGTTCAGTAATTTCGCTCATTTTCCCCTTTTTCTTTCCAAACTACTTTAAGTACCTCAAGAAAGCTGTTGGCTCTTTTCCCACAAAGTGTACCTACCCCAAAATTCTGGTAAAAACTTTGGGGGTTTTACAAATATCAGAAATGCCTTGATGGGCTAAGAACCTATAGTCTTAACAGAAAAAAATTAAAGTTTTCTATGACAATAAACCTTATATAAATTAGTTCCTAAATTTAATCACTCCCTAAAAGACCATCATAAAGATCACATAAGTAACATCCCAAAAGTTTTGAGGAAACCCTAGAATATAAATATAGTAAAAATTATTCAATTTGTAAAAATTCCTGGGGTTCAAAGGACTGATTTTGAGTTAATAAAGAGTAAGAAAGGAGATATTGTAAATGGAAAGATTCATTTCATTCATTGAGTGTTTGCTGTGTCTGGGCTGTTGAAAAATGTGGATACGTCGTCTCTGCCCTGGAAGGGACCTCAGCCTTGAGGGGTGATTTTGAGTCAGCAGGTAATTCTTACTCTTTAGTGTGAGGGCTTTGATAGAAATGCACTAATGACACTGAAGAATCCATGATGGTTCAGGGATGGCTCATCAGTACAAGTTAGCCAAATTAAAAGGTAGTAGAAAAATATATGTGTGTGTTGGGGTAGAAATGGAATCCAGACAGAGTGAAAAGCATGCCCAGTTCACAGCACTGTGGAAACAATATGGTGGGTTCAAAAAACAACAGTGTAAATTTGGATTAATAGAGCACCAAGTTTGAAGGAAATAATGTGGGAAGTTAGAAAAGATATTTAGTCAATGGCTTATATTTCATATTAAAAGGCTTAAAATTTTTTAAAGAATATGGTGTGGCGGGATCTTAAGGAGGAGAATGACGTAATATTAATAGAATCTGCACTGTGAATGTTTGTCTTTGGCCATGAGGCAGATCCATGAAAAGAGGCCCATACTGGAGGCAGAGAAATGATGAAGAGACAGAGGCCATGTAATACAGTGACCTCCTGCAACATCTGTCTTGCATTAGAATGCATCACAAAAGGCCATTGTTCATAAAGCTACTTTTTCTTGTGATAGAAAAGAAAGAGTTTTGAATTACAGATAGTTTATTTTTTTTTCCTTTCTTCATAGCTTTGGCTGAAATCCCTGTCCCAAGTCTTATCTTGTTTAAAAAATATCTTTTAAAGCAACTAAACATCATTGACAGAAGTAGGTTTGATGGGTAATGTTCCATGATGTCTTTTTTCCACATACACACAGAGCTTTTCTGAAAAGTAGCAATTGTAGGATTATTCACTACTTCAATTACGAATTTCTTGAGTACCTCTCAGGCTTTTCTTTGTTGAGTTAACAGCTATGTTTGTAAGATGACTTTAGTTGCTTTCTGGGTAATGGGTACTGAGACTTATTTTTTCTTCTCAAATTTAAATATAAAATTGAATTTGTGCCATCCTGGAAATCCTGACCAGCAAACAATTTACCCTCTGAAGTTCATTAGATTGTCCAGTAAGATGAAATGTCATACATTGTCCCATTATCTTTGAAAATGAAGGAAAAAAAGTTAGCCTCTCCAAGAAAGAAGAAGAAAAGAACAAACAAAAAAATAGAAAATGTAGGCAAGGAATCATGCCTGGTCACCATTATAGCTACCATCTATCAACAAGCTGGGTGTTTTGAGGACATGAAGCCTTGAGGCACAGCTCTGATGTATCCATGTTCTTCAGAAAAGAACTGCTAGCCTGAGGCCCATGCGCAGCTGCTAGAGTTTCTGACACTCTGCTCAAGGGGGAGACAGGAGGAGGCCAAAGTATCTACCAATACCTCCCGATACAGTTTGACTGTGTCCCAACCCAAGTATCATCTTGAATTGCAGTTCCCAGAATTCCCACGTGTTGTGGAAGGAACCCAATGGAAGGTGATTGAATTACAGGGTAGGTCTTTCCTGCACTGTTCTCATGACAGTGAATGAGTCTCACGAGATCTGATGGTTTTAAAAAATGGGAGTTTCCCTGCACAAGCTCTCTCTCTTTGCCTGCTGCCATCCATGTAAGACGTGACTTGCTCCTCCTTGTCTCCCAGCATGATTGTGAGACCTCCCCAGCCATGTGGAACTGTAAGTCCAATAAACTGTTTTGTTTTGTTTTGTTTTGTAAATTGCCCAGTCTTTGGTATGTCTTTATCAGCAGCATGAAAATAAATTAAGACACCCTCTGAATGTCCCAAGGGCTACCCACCCCTTTCAAAATTGTGTTCATTTCAAGACTTGGAGCATTTTCTTTTCCTTTTGTTTCTAGTCTTTTGTCTTTGAAACTCTTACAGATTCAAAGAAATTGCAAAAATAATACTAAAATAATCAATAAGGCTCAAGGAGAGGAATTATGTCATTACCTTTTGTTAACAGCCATGACTAATAAATAACCTGATTCCTTCCCTCCTCAGTTCAAGACTGCAGACACAATTATTAACATTAGTAAGACATTAAATGTTAAAGAACATGGCCATTTAAATACGATAAGAAACTACTATGATATGGGTAGTCTTGCTACTTAGCAGCTTAGTAATTGGTTCAGATCCACACCAGAAGCCTTAAGAATCTTGGAGTTCTCACTTTCAATTCTGTAAAAGAGACAAAAGCCCTGCCCTTTCAAGCTGAAGAAGAAAAGCACACACATGCACAGTGTATATGCAAAGAAATAACTGATCCACAGGTTTGCCTCATAAGATCTAAGTGAGAATTGCAGAAACATTGAAAAACTGCTTTCATTATTTCATCTTCTCTGTGTAAGCAAAAGAAAAACATATGAGTAAATATATGTATTAGAAGTAGTAGTGGAAAAAGGCTTTTATAACTAAATTATCCTCAGAAAATTCAAAGAAACAATCAATAGAATCAAAAAAGCAATCCGTTTCATTCAATAGATAGTACTTTGATTATGGGCCACCAGCAACCACTAATAAATGAAACAATGTTTGCCTTTGATAAATATATTTATATATCACTAGCTTTGAACTCCATTTAGCAACACAAGGCCAGGGAATACATTTATGGAAAACAATACAAAACAAAATTGGCTTTGATTGGATCATGGGAGTAAAGGAGGTCTTAAATAATTTAAAGTTATCCTTTGTCATTTAAAAATGCCTATGGTACAAAGAAAGAAACTGAGGCTTAGAGAAGTTATGTGACATTCCCCAGGTGACACAGCTAGTAAATTTCCCAAGGGAATATGAACTTAAAGGCATCTAATTTCTGAAAGCATGACTTTAACCCTACAATATTGGTAAATGTCTGTAAAATCAACCATTATACTGGATAAATGAATAAACATGTGCATAACATGACTGGGGAAAGAAAGATGATGTGGTACACCTGTCACCTGAGAGGTGAGGTACTCAATAAATACTGCTGGAATAACAAAAAAAATGCCTGTGGTAAATCGTAAAATCAGAAATGCTGCTAGTGACAATCTGGAATCTGGAGTCAGAATGGTATAGAAAAGGACCACATTGAGCATAAGGGTTCCTGAGTGCTGGTCTCAGTTCAGTCACAGACTTCCATGGCCTGACTAGGAAATACTTTGTCATCTATATGCATTATTTTCAGATGAGTGTCACTGTTTTTAAATAAAGAGATTAAATTGCTTGATTTTAAGCTCCCTTTTAAATCTAACTTAGGATTTGATGCTACTATCTATTAATATGAAATAAACACAAACTTCAAATTTGAATAAAATAAAGAGGAAAAACGAATGTGTACATAGTTGGTGGGAGTGTAAATTAGTTCAACCATTGTGGAAGACAGTGTGACAATTTCTCAAGGATCTAGAAATTGAAATTCCATTTAACCCAGCAATCCCATTACTGGGTATATACCCAAAGAACTATAAATCATTCTACTATAAAGACACACGCACACGTATGTTCATAGCGGCCCTGTTTACAATAGCAAAGACCTGGAATCAACCCAAATGCCCATCAATGATAGACTGGACAAAGAAAATGTGGCACATATACACCATGGAATACTATGCAGCCATAAAAAAAGATGAGTTTGTGTCCTGTGTAGGGACTTGGATGAATCTGGAAACCATCATTTTCAGCAAACTGACACAAGAACAGAAAACCAAACACCACATGTTCTCACTCATAGGCGAGTGTTGAACAATGAGAACATGTGGACTCAGGGAGAGGAGTATCACACACTGGGGGCAGTTGGGGGGGGTAGGGCAGAGACAGCGGGGGGTGGGAAGGGTGGGGAGGGATAACATGGGGAGAAATGCTGGATATAGTATGCACCTATGCAGCAACCCGGCATGACCTGCACATGTACCCCCTAACCTAAAGTTAAAAAAAAACAAAAAAACAATGGGTATTACACTATTCGCTGAAGTACAGACTTTATTATGATCTCAATACTTTTTCCTGTATCGTCTTTTTTCAGTCCCAGGATCCTATCCAAGATCCCACAATTTGTGAATTGCATTTAGTTGTCACAGCTCCTTAGTCTCCTCCAGCCTCACACATTTCCTTAGTCTTTCGTTATTTTCTATGACCTTAAGAGAGTATTTTGAAGAGCACTGATCTGCTATTTTGTAGCATGAGTACTAGTCTCATGTCTGTCCACTTGGGTTTAACTGATGGTCAATTAAGACTATGTGTTTTTGGCAAGAATGCCACAGAAGTGATGTGTGTCCTTCAGTGTATCCTATCAAGGGTACATGATGCTGATACACAATCCATATGATATTAATGGCTGTTTTGGTTGTTTGTATACACAAATTTTATACCCCCCTATAACTTCTTAAGCCTGGATGTAAATAAATTTTTATTCATTTATTGATTTAACAATAAGAAATATGAAACTCCACCACTCTTAAATCTTAATAAGTGCAAAGAGTAAAATTATATATTCTTTATCTAAGAAGGATACTCAAGTATGAAAAGGAGAAAATAGAAATTTAAAAGGGGGCTGTTTCAAATCATGTAACTAACATGAAGTTTCTTTGCACAGGGAATGATTGTATTTGCAATTAATAACATAGTCTTTTAAAAGCTTAGTGGAAACACAAAATGAATGACAAAAGTAGACATGAAAATGTCTTACATATGTTTGTGAAAAGATACCCGACGATGTTTTTACTGAAAAGATACTGTAGATGGTATTATCTATTTATTCTTTACAACTGGTCTGTGTATAAGTTTGCCACATTTTGTGTACAAAACCCCTAAAACATGATTGTACAATTTAATAAATCTATTTTCTTACTAATTTACCTAATGCACATAAATATTCTTTGCACACTTACTTTTGTACCTCTAGGAGGTATACCTAGTACAGATACCCTTCCTAATTAATCCCTCTTGCTTTTGCTCTGCTTTGTAGAAGTTAGGCATAAACCAGAAAGACAGCAGGACATTGCATTCCCAAAGGTGAGATAAGATGAAGAGCTTTCTTGCTTCCATTACGTTAGATTTGTGCCACATTTACTAGAATGTAATTTGAAACAATTAAGCAAGCGGTTAACAAATCCTGAAAGTGAAAGAATGCCCTGAAAGGGGATGGAGAAATAAATGAAAAAGACAATCAAAAAACAAATACTCAGCTGTGAGTTTAGGAACAGCAAGGAACTCTGTCACTGCATTGAAAGTTAGTAAGGCGGGTTTGCTGGGTCAGACATACTACAACTCAAAGTTTCAAACACACATCTTAACTTGGGAAATGAATTTGTGTTTCGGAAAAAATAAAGTTAATGTTTTTAAAACTGCTGATCCCCAGATCAATTAAATTAAAATAACAAAATATATTCAGAGATAAAATATGAAATAGCAAAACTGTAGTGAAAAATAATTATAAAATTCTTTTTTCAATATTCCACTTGTAATAATGGATAGAATATTCAGATAGATCATCAGTAAGGACATAGAAGACTTGAACAACACTATAAGCCAGAAAGACTTAACAGACATACAAAGCATACCACCCAACAATAGCAGAATACATGTTTTTCTTAAGTATGCATGAAACTTTCTCTAAGATAGATCTATGTTAGGCCCCAAAATAAGTCTTAATACATTTAGAAAGATTCAAGGCATACAAAGCATCTTTTCTGATCCCAATGGAAACTAGAAACGGAAGGAAAACTGGAAAAGTTAAATATACGTGGAAATTAAACAACATACCTTTCGTTTTCTAAATTCAAGACTTCATTACAGCTTTATTCACAGTAGCCAAAACCAGGTAAAAATCCAAATAAATGTTCATCAACAAGCGAATTGCAGTCCATCCATAATTCTTACATCATGAATGTTATATTAAATTTAGCCTAAAGCTGCCTCCTTACATATTTTAAGTTCTTCCTAAAGTTTTTCTATATATAGTGAACTGTAACCTAACCAGACCTGTCAATGGACTGTGACCTACTCTTGTGCCAATTACAGATTTTCAACCAATTACAAGCTGCCAACTGGTCAACCCTTTTCAAATAAGGCAAACATGGAGCTGTAACCGCCCCAGCAATTTCTGTACCTCACTTCCATTTTCTGTGCATCTTTTTTTTCTGTCCATAAATCTTCTCCAACCATAGTACAGCACTGAAGTCACTCAACCTATTCTGATTGGTTTGTGGACTGCTCAATTCACCAATTATTCTTCGTTCAATTAAACTCTGTTAAATTTAATTTGTCCTAAATTTTTCTTTTAATTTGAGGTACATTTCACATTTTCCTATTTTCTATTTGATAACCTAAAAGAACAAAGCTCCAAGGAGAAATTCTTTAACTTGTGCAATAATTTATATTTTTTAAATGAAAGCCTGATGTTATTGCTGATTCCATTTCTTTTTTGTATATATTTTATCATATACACTTTCAATGCAAATCTTAGTCAAAAATCAAAAGACAATTGCAAAAGGTTGTCGAGATACCTGTCAATCAGATGTCCACCTTCTTCTGCAAGTTTGTCAGCGAAGATGAAGAACAAAACTTCTTTTGTTATTTAAAAGTCAGTGAAGGTGGCTGGTGACTCTGCTGTGTTCTGGTCAGCGGCATTGTGTTCAGGCCTGGACGAGGGTATTCAACATGCCTTTAACAAACAAAATTCCAAGTAACGTTAAAATTTTTGAAGATGTTTAATAAATGATGGAAAAAGACTAGAACTGTAATAGCTGTCTCAAAATATCTGAAGCATTGTCAGGTGAAAGAGAGATTTGATTCATTCTCTGAGACTCTTGGAAAAAAAACCAAACAGGTGAAATTTGCAGAAAGGATGATATTGGTTCATTGTAAGAAATGACTGTCTGATAATTATTTTCCCTGAAGAATTTGTCTAGCTTTCAAGAGAGATGGTATATTTGACATCACTAGGTATGTACAGAAAAGTGTGATGACCTCTTATTATGGCTGTCACAGAGATACTCATCCATCTGGTGATGTTATACCAAATAATCTTCACGTTTCCTAATATCTCAGGGACTGTATATATGTAAAATAGTTATGTAAAACAAGTAAGTAGAATATTTAAATACCATAAATGTGTTTCCTTTTTTTTATAAAGCTCTTAGTCCATTATGTTGTAAGTTGATGAATGAATATATATGAAACTATCCTACAGCTTCTGTTTTAAACCTCAGGATTTTATTAGGAGTTATCAGTGTATTATGTAAAAGCTAGATATCTAGATAGATGTAGAAAGTTACTCAGTTATATATACATATATATGTACACATAGGTAGATAGATAGAGGCTAAGACAGTAAATAAAACAATAAAAAGTAAGTATTTTAATTTATACTTTACATGGCTTTAAATTACAAAATCATTTTTGCTGAAGCACATACAGGCCTTAAATAAAATGAACCCATATTCATTTTTTTTTTTTTTGAGATGGAGTTTTGCTTTTGTTGTCCAGGCTGTAGTTTAAAATGGTGTGATCTCAGCTGATCCTCCCGGGTTCAAGTGATTTTCCTGCCTCAGCCTCCCCAGTAGTTGGGATTACAGGCATGCGCCACCACATCCAGCTAATTGTGTATTTTTAGTAGAGATGGGGTTTCTCCTGGTTGGTCAGACTGGTCTCGAACTCCCAACCTCAGGTGATCTGCCCACCTCAGCCTTCCAAAGTGCTGGGATTACAGGCGTGAGCCATCATGCTCATACTAACGTTTAAAAAAAAAAACCTTAAAATTATATTTCCTAAATAAATGTTACTGTTAATAACCAAATTCTTTATGATAATTTTTAGATAGGGTCAGAAACAGTTGATTTTCTGTGAGGAATTTATTTCTATTAAATCTATTCTGTTTGTATTGTTTTTGAATGTTCACAGACTGATTCTGTTTCCTTCACTGCTATCTCTGGAAAAATGAGTATCAGAGAATACAAACAGCTGATATAGAAAAAAAAAGTAAGGAAAGGGCATTTTCTTCAAGTCTTATTATAGCAGCCTCTTTGGTATTTTGTTTCCTCATTTATTGAGGATGGATGGGAGTGAGGCCTGGAGCTGCCCTACAAGGGACTGGAACCTTCAAACAATTAAAATAGTATAGTATGATTGGGCCAGATTTAAATTAAAGACAGACAAAGAGAGAATATAGATTCCAGCAGATACGTAATGAACCAGCAATATACTGTGTCAAAACTGGTGAATACATGTGATACATATAAGGCAGTAGGAAACAAAGCAGCCTGCAGAGGTAAGACAACTAAGAGAAATCTTTCCAACTATGTAAGATGTAGAGGAAGGGGTCTTCTAAAACTGCCGTTCTCAGCTACCCATCCAAATATTGAAATGAATAGGAGTAAAAGAGGAGGAGCTATGACTAAACTTGCTGAACATTACGTCACCAAGGCCCATCTTCTCCAAAAGCCAACTCTCCTATTTATGGGACTATCTATGCTAGATGATGATGATGATGATGGTGATGATGATGACGATTAAAAAATATACTTCCAGATAAGCCTATGGAAGAGTGATTTTCATTTGAGCATGTTTTCTTATTGTTGTCATGGGTAATATAAAAACCCCACAATACACTCTTCCTAAAAAGGAGATTAAAAAAATGAAGTAGGCTAAGAATCCATTCCCAATGACTCTTAGGTGGGGAGTAGTGGGAATTTGATGTTTTTAGCATTTGAATGGTATACTATTCAACAAAAACATTTTTAAGCACCCTAAATTTATCCATCTCCTCCCAACCATTCTCCACATTGGACCCAGAGGCAGCACTCTAAACCGTACAGGTGATTAAGCCACTCTTTCCTGTTCCACTCTTCAAAGCCTTCCCCCCGCCATAGCATTTCAGACCCTCTCCAGCCTCATTTCTTACCACCCTTCCTTTTGTACGATGCTATCTGGGTGCTCTGGACAGCTTTTGAGTTGTGCTTCCTTAATATGGTCTCTCACATTTACATTTTTGCACAGCCTGTGCCCTCAGGACGAGACGTTTCTCTGCCTTTGGTGTGTCTAACTCTCACTTACCTTTTAAGATTCTGTTTGTGTCTCCCTTTCCAGGATTTTTCAAGTCTCTCTCCACTGGATTAGATAGGTCTGCCATGTGCTTCTAAAGTCCCCTGTACTGTGCTTTTCCTGCAAAGACACTTAACACTTTATTATTTGCTCTATGTGTTAGTCTATCTTACCTGAAAAAAATATAAACTCTGTGACACACAGAATGCCATACCTTCAGTACATAGCACAGGGCTTGATACATAATTGGAATACTAAAAACATTTATTGAAAGAAGGAATAAATGGATTTAGTGGAGAACCGGGATGGTACTGGGCGACTATATTTTATCAAGGATGTGTAAGGCATTACCCTCTTTCCTACAAGGGCTACGAGAATGACCCATTTTGCAAAAAGAGGAACAGAGGCAGAATATTTGATGCTGCTTCTAAATCACACAATTTGTTACTGTGGAGATGCCCTCCCCTCAAATTGAGATTTATTTTAACCATGTTGTCACAGATAAAAACACCATCTACTGGATTAGATTCTCAAAAAGAAGAGGAAAAAGATATTAAATGGATCAATATAGAAACAAGATATAAGTGTAGTTCCTCCAGAGGTTTTACTTTCATTAACTAACTTACCGAGGAAAAGTATTGCACAAATAATCCATGGGTATAAAATGATCCTGGTATTTGGAAGAAACTAAGACAAGGACTGAATTTGCCTAGAGGCATTTCCAGATTAACCTATCTATACCATGTTGCTCCGACGGAATTAAAGGCATCGGAGGAAATAGATATGCCCAAAACCTGATTTTCAATCTCTTGATAGTTTATCAGTTCTCTGGCATCATCAGGTTTTTGTGATTAAGCAAACCAGGCTCGCTCACACATAAGACCTATAAAAAGACAGCCTCTCGCGTTTCAGCACACTGGCGCTCCACGTGTAAAAATGAAAGGAGAGCACTCTGATTAGCATAAACCAAACCAAACACTGCCCTCTGGCCTCACTCTGCTGAGACTAAAAAGATCCTATCAGCCTTTTCAGGTTATCCCCTCCATAGGACTTTGGACACTCTTCCGTTTCTGCAGCTGGTTAACTTTTATGGTATAATCTGAGATTAAATATAGAAAAGAAGAAAAAAAAAAGAATTTCAAGAAGTGTACTCAAAACATAATAGTCCCACTAGGAAGCATGCAACACTTAAACCTTGAACACCAATGGCCATGCACAACACTACCATGGCCTGAGGAATAAATCAAACACACAGGGTTGTGACTATTATTTGTGTACCCAAAAGTCTCCCTGGTGAAAGATAAGAATCTACCTTTTAGTTTTTATAGAAATGCAATAGGAAAGGATAGCCTTAAAGTTCTAGTGGAGTGAAGAAAAAAAGAACAATTAACATATGTTTACAGCAATCTATTACAATGTCATGATGCCATAGCATATTTGCGCCCAGCAGTGTATGGCCAAGTATTTAGGATCTTTGTAGGCTGAAGTTCACCATGAACACTTACACATTGTGGCTTTCTCCTGAGGGTGTTACTGCATTACCATTTGAATTCTCGTAGAAACTCTTAACTTAGAACAGTAAGCCTGTTGCACCTCCAGCTCTTATTCAGTCTTCCGATTGTCACAGAGAGATGTTTTATAGGCTTGCCTTTTCCTTTCATCGAGGGCGGTCACAATGTGTTAAGAGCCGCGAGTTCAGGCTCTTAACTGAACTGTTAAGAGCTGTTGAACTGTCTGGCTGTTGAATATCTTCCTCTCCTGATATCAGTCGAGTTGTTTCCATTTATCAGCTGTGTGACCTTGGGCAAATCCCTTGACCTTTCTGTGTCTCCCCTTTCTCTTTGGTAAAATGGGAACAGTTATAGGCCTTACCTCAGAAAATTGTTGTAGGAATTGTTATGAAGCAATCAATGAGCTTCCTACCCTATGGTCATAGAGGCCAATACCACAGCACCAATTTTAGAGGAAAAAAAAAAGGTTTATTGCAAGTCTACTGGCAAGGAAACAAGAGGAAATACTCAAATCTGGATCCCTGGGCTAGGGGCTAGGTGGAGCTCTACAAGCATAGGATAATGAGGTGTTACCTGATTGGATCTTGCAATAGGTGATACCAGGGGGCATGATCCAACTGGATCCTGCCACAGGGTGACCCCAGGGCTCAATCTGATTGGATCCTGGATTCTGCCACATGGTGTCCACCTCTTAAATTGGTCCCCGCTCTTCCACTGGAACAGTTAGGTTCCCCCGTGGTTGTATGCTTGGTGCATTTGGGCCGGCTGAGGTTATATGATCTTGAACTTGGGGGTCCATGGCAGCTGAAAAACAGTTCACAACTTTGTTACATAAAAATTGAGCCAGATTGGTCTGGTACAGTTACAGAATGAATAAGATTTAGAACCAAGTCTGGCACATGAGGAAGAGCTAGAGACGGGTTGCTAGTATTTCCATTCTCACAAACGAGACTTATATGATTTAGGAAGGAGGAGCGATGTTCCTTCTCTCAGAGATTCAAAACCCTGTTCTCATGACACCAAACTTATCTCCTCTCAATGCTCTCAGACTTTCACTTAATCTGAACTAGCTTCATATTTACCTATATTTATAACAATCATTTTCTTAAACAATGAATTCCATTTCCAAACTACTTTCAGAATACAACTTATTAAAATCAGGGACTGCCCTCTGAGCTCTCCTAGCTGACATTTAGCATGGTATGTGGACTAAGAAAGACGGAAGAAGAGAAACATTTTATAGCAGCATCAGGCCATTTAATTAGTATAAACATTTAGGAAAATTACTGGGAGTGAATCTGACAGTATGCTTTGTGCATGAGTGGTTTTCACTAACTCTACCAGTTTCTACACAACAGTTTGCTTCCCTAAGCAAGTGGGCAAGTTACTTATTTAACCTTTGTCCTTATTCTGATCAAAAGCAGCAGAAAGTCTGGCACAGTGGCTCACGCCTGTAATCCCAGCACTTTGGGAGGCCGAGGCGGTCAGATCACGAGGTCAGGAGTTCAAGACCAGCCTGGCCAACATGGTGAAACCCCATCTCAAAAAAAAAAAAAAAAAAGAAAAAAAAAAAAACTGGAGATGCATTTGGTTAAAACCTTCTGATTAATAGATGAACACTTTGAAGCACTGCTCATGATTTTCGTTCCTCTTAAATAAATATATAATAAATAGAGGAATAAAATCTCAATTGTGTCCTGGGCAATGTTTAATTCAATGGAATGCAAATTTAATATGTTCTATGGATAATTTCATGTTTTTATCTTAAATTTTTTTTAACTTTTCGGTTCAGGGGTACATGTGCAGGCTTGTTATACAGGTAAACTGAGTTACCTGGGAGTTTGGTGTAAGATGATTTTGCCAGGCAGGTAATAAGCATAGTACCTGTTCCACTCCCTCCATTTCCCCCTTAGTATGTCTCTTGGGAAGAAGCGATGTGGTACTCTGAGAAAAGTATGACTTCTGGATTTTGTAGACCTACATTTGAATTCTGTTTCTGCAACTTGGCAACTGTGGGAACTTGGGAAATTTGCTTAGCTTCTCTAAGTTTGTTTCCTAAAGAATGAAATAGATACAAAAATAGCCCATGGCACACACCTGGGCCAGTGCCTGATGTCGGTGCTTCAGACATTTTTGTTCTTCTTTCCTTTGCTTTCCTCTTTGGGGGAATTGAAGTGGAGGTCCCAAAGGGTTACATATGGGCAGAGCACTGGCTGCTGCATGGCTCCCAGGGCTGTGCTTTCATGTCACTAACCTAGGACTGGAAAAAAACAAACAAACAAACAAACAAAACCCTTCAGGTTTCACACTCTTCCAGTCTGTTTCAATACTCCCTGATGCCCCTTTCAAAGCAAAGCATCTCATTCCCACTCACCTCAAACCTTTCTCAGAACTCGGAATATGCATTATCTATTTCCTCTTCTACCCAGACTAAAATTGTGTCTCTGCCACTTTTTGCTGTGTGACATTGGGCAAGTTACTTAATCTCACTGTGCCCCCATTGCTTTGTCTATAAAATAGGAATAACAGAAAGACCTAACCCGAGGTTGTTCGGGGAATTATAGGAGTTCTAAAAGAAAATAAGAAAAAAATATTTGCCCAGTTGCCTTGATGTTTATTTGAAATGAATAAATATTTTTGATCAAATTTCATCTTTAGAATGTAAGCTCCATGAGGGTAAGAAATTTAATCTGTCATGCTTACTGCACAATCCCCAGAGTCTAGAATTTTTTTGTTTAGTGCTCACTCAGAGTTAGTGACTATCTCATATATGAGAGTTATGCCCTAGATACATAGAAGTTTATTCATTCATTCATTCTTCCACTCAGCATGTATTTATTTAGAACCTACCAAGTGCACATGGATGACTGACTGAATGTATGAATTAATGAAGTTTTCTCAATATCAGAATTTAGGAGGTCTCGCATTTCAATTTATTGATACTTTGAACTAGCTAGACTCAAAGTCTGACAGACCCTAGGATTATTTTTTAATGCTCATTCAGAATTAATGATTACTTCGAATATAAAACATATGCACCAAAGTTGAACAAATGCAAATTATAACATTCTAAAAAATACAGCTAGTATTTGTATTTCAGAGATCACAATCAACAAGATCTAGTCCAGATGCATCTGAATCTATATCTAAATATTTCACATCTACTTAAACTTGAATTGTGGAAAGCTGTGATCCTAAGACATTAAACTTGAAAATTCTTATAAAAGATCAGTGATTAGTGTAAAACATTAACAAACCACTGTAATTATCCAAACTCTTAGGGACCTGAACTTATGACAACTCTTTCTTAACTCTGGGATTTTCACTCTTCAGTTAGTTCTAGAGCTTATTATGAGGAAATATGTACACATGAGCTTAGGGGAGAAATTTTTTGGAAAAGTACTATTGTCTTTTCTTCAGTCTTCTTATTGAGAAAAAAAAATTGGTTGTTATAGATCCTACATTTATGTAGAGTATATTTAATGAGTTACAGCTTGGATTGTGTCCAAGTGATGTCAACGCTGTGTGTTTTGATATCGATAGTTTCTATTGCAATCACAGAATTATTTTGCATTAACCACTTTAAATAGGAATTATAAACTTTAGGTACGACATTTTTGTTTAACAAAGCTGAAAGCACTAAAAAAGCTAGTAATGGGTGTTTATTTAATATTTAAGTAATTTTAACTTAAAATATAGTCTATAGCTGGTGTTCTAAATTGATTAACATTTGTTGTTATTCTTCAAACCTGCCCATCTTTACCTAAAACATTTCAACAGATGTTTTGATTACCACATTAAAATAAAATTAAGTGAGTTTGATATGCATGAACCTTGCAACCTTACAGAGTTACAGATTTAAAATATGACCCTGGGAACTAACTTTGTTTTGACTCTGAATTTTTTGTATGTAGTTGCCCCCCCAAACTTTACTCCCATCTTTGTGTGTATGTTAAAAGAAATTTTATCAGTTAAAAGACACTTCATGAAAAATGATTTGGCATTGATGTAGGGCTGAGAAACCCACGGATAAATATTTAAAAGGCTACTAAGCAAAACGGCCCTGATTAATCTTGTTTTAAACTAGCTACTTCAATAGCTAATCTCTACTTTTTATATCTGTTACATTTTATGCCAATCAAAAAGTCTTCCAAATCATAACTTTTAACAATCTGAAAATGTTTGTTCCTAGCTTTTTAAAATTAGCACTGACTCTAGTATCTCTGACACTACAAAACTAGTACCAGCCAACATGTGCAAGATCAACATTTTAATGATATGTAGTTTTCTGGCCAATTTTTTCCTTTTTTCTTCCTTCCTCTTCTCCCCTCCCCTCCTCTCCCCTCCCCTCCTCTCTCTCCTTCCTCCATCCCTTCTTTCCTTTCTACTTCTTTCCTTTTTTCTTTCTTTTCATTTTCCTTCCTATTTTTCACTTTCCCTTCCTTCTCTTCCCCTACCTCATCTCTTTTCTCTGTAATGTCCTCGTTATGGGAGCAAATGATTAAACCGCGGAGACAGTCAAATCACAGAAGTGATCAAATAGCCACAAGGATCTTGATTTCCTCCTTAGAGGGCTGGAGAATTGGCTTAGTCTCTTGCAGAAAACTGTTTCCTAGGTTGGATTAGCTTCACATACTTGGGCACAACTTGAGTTCTACTTCCAATAAGAGGACGATCCGGGCCAGGTTGCTGTGCACTTGTCTCCTTACAGATTTTCACAATGCCTCTGTGATAGCCAATGGCCACAGAAAGTTCTATAATCCCTAGCTATGAATTGGAACTGTTTTTTTAGATTAATGAACAACATGAAGTAGTGAATTGCATCTTAGGTGGCACAAAGGATTCATTTAATTAGCCCTTAAATGTAAAAGGTTGTGCACCACAAATCTGCTATGCATTGAAACCCAGTATGTGTATAAGCCTTCTCAGAAACAAAAAGAATAGAGAGTGGTGAATTGTTTTCCAGGTGAGAAATCTTGCATCTTTTTGGAATAAACACGTTTTGAGTATCTAACACCAATTTAGTCTGGGCACAGACATTATTTCTAAACTGAACGTGTTTTTGTTTGAGTGAATAAAGCATAGAATTTCACAGAATTTTCCAGCTACAGAATTTTCCAGAAACTGGTGTGTATTTCTTCCACAAACTCAAGGCCTTTCCTTTCAAATTATCTGTCTGTGTGGATGATTTGTTTTGTGCAAAGTACCTCATGAGGGAAGAGGTAAGAGTATAAAGCTGTGTGGTATACAACCAGACAGTTCTTACCTGTAAGGATCTTACATAAGCAGATAAACTGGCTACCCAAACAATCAGGGTGGAAGCTGTAGTCTTGCAGTGAGCTCTTCTAGGATCCTCTAGAAGTGATCCAACCTTTGTAGGTTGGATCAACATTGTTCTCTGTCCTCCTTCTGCAGGGGTCTGGGGATAGTGTTGATAAAGTTTATAAAAGTTCTTGCTATTGCAATTGCAATTTGTCTTAATTTACTTGATCTATATTCTGCTAATGTATTGTCAGTGCTCAACACACACACAAACACACACACACACACACACACACACACACACACACACACACACACCCCCCTTTGGGGAAGAATAGGCATCACACCTTCCAGCTGATCAGCTTATAGGAGCAACATTATCATGCTTGATAGAATGTCCTCAATGTGTGCAAAATGAATTTATATTTTGTCTCATTTTGTTATGCAGGCTTCCTAACGCTTTTTAAACATGATGTCATCATAAAAACATGTGTATACATGTACCTCTGCAGAAAACACTAAAATTAAATTAACTTGCTGGCTAAAGTTAGAGAAAATCCTTTTCTAGCTTCTCTGTACCACTCAATAAATTATTACAGTCTGTGCACAAAACACAAATTACATGCTTTATTAGTATGTTCTGTGGTAACCCCAAAACCACAAGTGTTTACATGTGCTGCACGCATGCACTTTGGGGCTTTTTAATAGCGGGTTGACAAGAGATTAAAGGCAGAAATATGGCATTTTATTCAAGCAAACATATCAGCATGCCTACCATGATAAAATGATCTAGTTTTCTTCAGACACAAAAGTTTCTGTTGAGTGATACCTTCGAAATTCCTTGAGGGCACCCTATTATTCACTTTCCTCAACACAGAGCAGCTGCAAATGGTCTCCAATTTTCAAAGAGTGTTGCCTGGTCATTCTTTACTGTCAAAATGAAGAAGAGCATAAAAGTTAAGTCAATAAAGTAATATGAAATGCTTAATATAAAAATTCAAGAATGAATGATTAACCATTAAAAACTTACAGTAGCTATTTCATCCAGGAAAAAAAAAATTAACATTTCCCCTGAAACCTATTAACACTCCTTGTAAACAATATTCTTTTTTGAAATATATGGCCTTTCCTAATGCTCTCCACACACACGGCATTTTTCTTATATCCACTTTACCTCACTGATATGAAGTTTAATTCCCCAGGAGAGAGTGCTTCGAGCCCCTTCCTCAGAAATATGTGGTCTTCTCCTGTATATTCCAAACGGATGCACTCATTTGTGTTAGATGATGTAACAACCTGTTGTTGTTAATACAACTTCAAAATTACAAACTTTGCCAGTGGACAATCAACAGGCCAAAGGTACCGCCTACCTTGGGGCCCACACTTCCTAGTCAATCTATAAAATTTGATACATTGATAATTATGGAAATTGATATCCATACCTCTCTGTTCTGGGTTGCACCCATCTTTCATCTGTGTCTGCTGTATCTGTGGATGTTGTGTAGAGAGCCTTGTGCAGAGGATAGCAGAGATAAAAGATTTTTCAAATATATTTTTCAAGGAAGATATTTAAAAGAGCAGGGTTGAGTTTAGTCTAGGACTTTTTTTCAAAATTAAATCAGAAAAAAAGCAAGAATATTCAGGACCTATCCTATAGTAAATCCCTCCATACCATGATATTGCTAAGGAAAATAACACTGTGCATAAAACATGCTAAGAATGATTTTGATTTTAAAAAATTGTAAACTGATATAATTGGGGTCGAAAAGACTGCTCTTTGAGGTTGCCAAATGTTTTCCCCACAAGTTTAGAGCTGTTGGAGAAGCCTCCACCATGCAATCCTCCAAAAGCCATCACCAGGGTGTTGTCCACTGGTTAACTGAGGAATTAGTGGGTATGACTTGTTTCTGGGAATAAACCTCAGATTGTATGAATTTTAAGTATTCCTGTAAATATCTCACAGAATTTATTTGTTTGAACAGATGCTGTGAACTGTCATTTCTCAGATGTTTTCTTCCAGAAATTGGACAGAGATGTTCAGCCTGCTCCTAGTAAGGAGACAGGAAACATACTGACTGGTGGCTTTATTGCTTTTTTATTAAGAATTGTCTAGTAACTAAGAAGCATTCTGCTCTTGAGGAAAGCCTCAAAACAAAGGATACAAGAAAAGAAGTAACTAAAGAATATATAGCACTTTCTGGACTATAATTATCAAATCCTTTAGGTAGGTGTAGATAAAAAGTGAAACATCCCCTATATAGTATTTGTTTGCCATATGTTGATATCTTTTAAATGAAACAGTAGAGTCCCCTCATAAAACCCACAATCTTCACATAGATGAGCCTGGCCTTCCCATTTCTGCTCTATAAGACTAATGCTATGACATTCTCTGGTTAAAGGCTGGGAAGTGCAGAAGATCAATGTGGGGAGGGTCTCTTTGTATCCTCTTCTATCAGCCATTTCAATGCAATTTTGAAAACATAAATTTTACGCTGGGCACAGTGGCTCACGCCTATAATCATAGAACTTTGGGAGGCCAAGGCGGGTGGATCATGAGGTCAGGAGATCAAGACTATCCTGGCTAACATGGTGAAACCCCATCTCTACTGAAAATACAAAAAATTAGCCAGGCATGGTGGTGCGTGCCTGTTAATTCCAGCTACTGGGGAGGCTGAGGCAGGAGAATTGTCTGAACCCAGGAGGCAGAGGTTGCAGTGAGCCAAGATGGCGCCACTGCACTTCAGCCTGGGTGACAGAGCAAGACTCTGTCTCAACAACAACAACAACAACAACAACAAAAACAACAAAGATAATTTTTGTATAAATACCCATTTTTCATGTATTTGACTCATTAAAACACTACTGAAGAAGATATATAATTTTTGGTAGATTTTAGTTACATTTACGTACGTGTGTGTGTGTGTGTGTGTGTGTGTGTGTGTATTTTTGGCGTTACTGGCATAAGTTGTGCTACATAATATAGGATATTAAAACTAATTATAGCAGTGAGGCTAACAGTGTGAAAGCCATGAATCTGAATGAAACTTTCCATTTCTCTCTATAGGTTTTATAAAAACTCTGATGACATTTTCTCCCAAAATATGTGGTTTTTTAATTTTAATTTGTTCACAAGCCAAATACAGCATCACGATTACTTTTATGTTACATGACTAATTTATAAATTTTTGCAAATGACATCAATTTCTTTTGTCGTTTGCCTATTCTTGTCCTTTTTGCTTCCCTCCACAAACATCCAATGTATATTATATGTCTTTATATACACACATATGGATCATGGTTCTAGGTGTGACATACAAAGAGGCAGATTAAACTTCATTCCTGACCTCAGAGAAATTACAATTCAATTTGTAAGCATCATGATAAGGTTAAGTAAAAGGTTATGTAAAGTAATTTCCAATTGTTTATTGTTTTACGCCATAGCACAATAAGTGACTACCATATGTTATCTAATTCAAACCTCTGGAACTGAGAAAGATATAAACATGGTATTTGAAAATTTCCATATTGGAGGATAGACATTCAAAGAGAAATCTACAAAAGAGATCAGGAACAAATAGACATAGAGGAAGAAATAGAAAGCTATAGTGTCAGTGTCATTCAACCCAGAGGTAAATAGTAAGTAATGCCAAGTGTCATGGAAAAATCAAGGATCAGGCTGGCTGTCGTGGGTCACACCTGTAATCCCAGCACTTTGGGAAGCCAAGGTGGGTGGATCACTTGAGCTCAGGATGAGCTCACTTGAGACCAGCTTGGCCAACATGATAAAGCCCAATCTCTACTAAAAACACAAAAATTAGCGGGGTGTGATGGCACATGCCCACAGTTGCAGTTACTTAAGAGGCTGCGGCAGGAGAATTCCTTGAACCTGGGAGGCAGAGAGGATGCAGTGAGCTGAGTTCATGCCACTGCACTCCAGCCTGGGCAACAGAGCTAGACTCCGTCTCAAAAAAATAAAATAAAATAAACAAGGATCAATATGGTAAATAAGCAATGATTTGGAGAAAGACACCAGCATTAAAATTTAAGAAAGGAATGGAATGCAATTATTTAATTAGTCGTGGCAAGGCGAATGCAGATATTTATCTTTGTTCTCTTACAAAATTTTATTAGAATGACAGTAAAGGGATTAAAAAGGAAAACATTACAAAATAAAAAAGCATGGAAGAAAAAAATTGTAGCAGATGAAAGATTTCAAGACTACTCAGGAAAATGGAAAGTTGATAGCTATGCGACAGCAAGTTTAAGTATCAGCCCCTCCACTCTATTCAGGGTCAAGCAAGAAGCAGGTCAATTTTCACCAAGCAATTCCAGAATATCTCAAAAATTAGAGACAGTGAGTACATATAAAGGAAAGGACAAAGGATGGGAATGAGAAAAGGGGAATTGATAATACCCCATGATTTCACACTCATATGGGGAATCTAACTGAGTTGTTTGTAGAAGTAGAGGTTACCAGAGGCTGGGTGGGGGGGATGTGGGATGTGGCATGGTGAACAGGTATAAAGTTAAGAGTTAGCTAGGAGGAATAACCTCTGCTCTTCTATTACACAGGACGGTGACTATAGTTAACAATAATGTATTGTATGTTTCAAAATAGCTAGAAGAGAGGATTTTTAATGTTCTCGCAACAAAGAAATGACAAATGTTAGAGATGATGGATGTCCTTATGCAAGGATAGTGTGATCCTTATGCAACACATACATGTATCAAAACATCACACTGTACCCCAAAAGTATTTACAATCACTATGTATCAACTAAACACAAAATAAAACTTAAAAAGAAAAAAAAAAAAAACTCATACACTCCAAATGCGCTCTCCTATCTGATAAGGAACTACATTTCTGCCACCCTATGGGAGACGGAACGTTTACTGTGGAAATACTTTGAAGCTCTGGGCTCAGAGGCATCAGACAGAGTTGAACCTAAGAGTGAAGCACCAAAAAAAGAGAGAGTGAACTCCCTTTCTTAATCAACTAAGAATCCCCCCACCTCCTACGTACTCACTTCTGGCGTACTCAGAGCAGTAACAGCCAGGTCGACTACTTTTAAACTGTCTTCCTTACCATCTCACCCTGCCATCTGAATTTTCATTTTAAATCATGTGGCATACATAAGGAGACTGGATTAATTAAAATGGCCCAAAGTAGTACATGTCTCCTATGATCTGTAAACAAGGCAGAGAAAAGCAGGGAAGAGTAAAGACTGCACCAATTGTCAAGATCAGAACGATAGCATGTAACAGAATCAGAAAATGATGTATTTATTTAAAAATCAGACTAAACATATATTTTGAGTGTGACATCATGATGGAACTGACTAAAGTTGGGTCAGCGTCAGACACTGACATAATGGTTCCTGTCACAGGATATTTGACCTTAGAGAACACTTGAGTACTTACCAAGGATATGAACCCACCTTGAAAGTCCCATGGTGAGATGTGTGTGATTAACACTAGGACTTTGTAATTTAACTGGAAATGGATTTTAATCAGGTGGTAATATTATGGGTCACACTCAAATGCTCTCGTATAAGAAAGTTTAGAAAGATTTAGACTTTTTTTCTCTATAGTAGGTACAGATCATAGATTCTATCTTGGACTAGCGTGTCTCTTGGGTGCTCGGTAGACATTGCTGCTCTTCTGATAGATAGAGAAAATGAGGTTACAAAATTGCTCTACTATCACTTACTCTTAGATGGAACAGGTAAAAATCCTTGGGGAAATCATGTTAATGGGCTATAGGTTTTCCTGAATTTCGCTATATGCTTGGAAAAAGAGTTAGAATGCAAACTTTAGATTTGAGCAACACCCCCATTTCATTTCTTATAATAGCACTGTGGTTTGGTGAGATATTTTTAAATTTGGAAAAGCAGAGCTGTAAAATATGTCTTTTTAAAGAAATGTATTCACTAAAAAGCAATTTATTTTCCTCGAAACATAACACATTTATGTATATGAGCATCATGAGAAGTTGATATTGGTACTCAATATAGACTTTTTGATAAAGGGATGCTTTGAGACAGAAAAGTTTCTTCTTGGTGGTCAAGACAAATTCTTATCTTGCAAGAGCATGAAAGCATGTTTAAATTCTATAAACAATATAATACAGAAAGAGTCAAAAGAAATTTGTTGATAAAGAGAGGTGAAATAAACAGAAACTAATAAAAATGAGGGAAACATGTAAACATTTACAACCTGTTTACAACTTCCTCTTAAAACTGCTTATTCAAGCTCATTCATTATATTAACAGAAAAAGGACAGAGACCATGCTTTTGTCATTTGTCTAACATGAAAATTCATTAGCATGTCATTAGTATGTGGCAAAGTTTAAATTTTCCACTCATAAGCACATAGCTTGGGTGGGCTTTCAGCACACCAGCAATCTGTTCTGAAATTGTGTGAACACTCCTGTATTTAAATTCCTGAACTATTCTTTCCTGAAATATTTGCTTGAATATAGAATACCCATTACCACTGACTGTGGAAGACAGTCACCCTCCTTAAACCCCTCAGTTAAGGACTTACAATGAAATGCCTCGTTAAGAACCTTAATTTAAAGCAGCACACAGTTCTGTATGTCAAAGGTAATAATTACCTTCTTTAATGAGCCTGACTTTTCTCTGTGATGAGTAAGGCTCCCACCACTTTGTTTACAGTAACTCTGGAATTATTTCAGGCTTTCTTCAAGGGCTCTTATTTTTAAAAAAACAAAAATTATGTCTGTTTTTCTGGGGTCAAATTCTGCCTACACTATACTGAAACCATGTGCTGTTCAAGCACTGCTAAAACCAATTACCCATATATTCCTGGGACATGCAGGGGCCTATAGAAGTCATATCATCCATATCCTAGCTTCTAAGCAGAGCTACAGATAAATTATGTCAGCCTCAAAAAGGCCTACCCTACGATTTTAAATAACTTCCATGTGAATTATAGCTATCCAAAATGTCCCAGCAAATTAAACAATAAAATTGAAAAGCTCTTGAACAAATTGATTTTATAGATACTATTATAATCTTAAGAACGTAAGATCTATGTTTGCAGGCTCAGGAGGGCTTGAAGAGTTACACCCAAGTATATGAGAACTTATGTGGCAACTTGCTTTAATTATAATACTAGGCATTTCTTTCCCCTATCTTATCAGCTACCCATAATATGATTCCCAAAATTGATCCGCATTTTATATAAAATGATTGAGAAGTGTTTTAGCTTTTAGATGTTGAAGAATTTAAGTCACATAACATAGTCCCTTCAATTTACAGACACGAAACAAATAAACATTAAATGGTTCATCTAAGGTCATACAGTATTTATGTGAAAGAGGCAGAAGTTGAACTTAGCTATTGAGTATTTGGTATATGAGTCTAAATCTTTCCAGTCTATTAAAATCTGCCCTTTGTTTCTGGATAAAGAGAGCCAATTATACTTTCTATTGTTTTGTGAGATATGCACCACTACATAAGGTTCACTTCATAGAAATGTTTTTTGATTTTACAATGCGAAACTACTGGCTAGGGATATTAATTTCTTATTAATCCTACCCTAGCATCCAGTCAGGTTGAGATTAACAAAGGTTTGGAGCTGGAAAAAACCTTAGAGATCCCATGTAGAGACATTTTATGAACTGTAAGGCAGTTTCATTAGCAGTCCTCAACTCAGGGAATACAGAAGAACGAAGGCATAGTCTTGCCGTGTCACAATGAGCCAGATGTGGTCCAGATTAACACTAATGCCACTGATACCCAGTACGGCTCCTTTTTCACTCTACAGAAGACTTCTTAAGACAAGAATCTTGACACTTTATCAGTTTTTACTTTTCAAGTGAAATGGAATTGCAAAATTGAACCATAATTTGCATTAAAGTAACCCTAAGCCCTTAACCCCCATAGCTGGATGCAGGAGCAGCAGAACATTACAGCATGGATTTATCTTCTGTTTCTTTGGTGTCATTCCTTATAGTCAACCACTGAAAAGTTTCTACAAGGGAAGAGTTTGTTCCTGAAGCCCCTTGAACTGGCGCCCTCCTTTCCGTTCTTTTCTCTAGTCCTTTCATGTAAGTGTTACATCAACTTTTGAAAGAGTGTTGGTCTGTTAATCATTTCCTCTACTACTAGCAAATTAAACAACATTTTTAAATCTCTTGGGTCTACAGTCTTCCGTTATTTTAACATTTAATAGAGAAACTAGGACAATTCTAATCCCAAAACATCTTATTTTCAATTCCATTTAATTCTGTTTCCAAAGTTCAAATAAAATATAGAGAAAAACCTAATGGAAAGGTTCCTGTTTGTCATGGCTATGGCTAATCTGACTATGTATCTAGAGCTTATGAACTGTGCCTTTAGGGGAAGGATGCAAAACGTTAGGATTTCAGAAAACCCCCAAAACATACAGCCAAATCTGTAACGTTTAATGAGATCACCTCCAGATGTAACTAACAGGAATGTCCAGTTGTGCAATATTTCTTTTATTAGCAAATAATTTAGGCTTTTGAGCAAGTTAAGTAACAAAATCAGCAGAATAATCAATATCTATTTGGGCTATCACTGGCGGACTTAAAGAGCTCTTTTGAATTTTAAGCGTTAGCACCCATTCAAAAATAAAACATAGATTTGTTGTTTTTATTTTTTCTTACTTAATTCCCAGGCACTAGGAGAACAAATGGGATGACAGAAAACAATACAGACATGAATTTGATAGAACCGTGTTTGAAACTCAACTTTGTTGTTTCTAGCTATGATACTTTAGGAAACCCCTGTTGACCATATTTTTCCATCTATAAATTTGGAATCGATATGTCATCTATAAGATTGCTGTGAAGAACAAACTAGATCATTGATGTGAAGAGGTCAAACACAATACTTGACATGTGGTAGAAGCTGTTTCAGAAAGCATGTCCCAAATTAACTTAACAAAAAAAGTGGCGATATGAATAATCTTAACAACTGAAATATATATGGAAATCTTCGTTTTTCCAACAACAGGATGTTCATAATTCTAAAGAAAAAGTATCAACCTCATAATTTTGGTTTCTTATTTACAAGGATTCTGAAGACAGCAGAGCCAAATTATATAAACTCCCCCAGAGATTTCTGTCAGCTTTTTAAACTTGTTTATCTGAGACTATATCTGATTGAATTGTCATAATTTTAGATTGTATATTAAACCTGAAAATATTAAAGAGATACACTAACATTCCATTCCAATCTCTAAGTTGGAATCATTCAACACCATCAAGTGCTTGGAACATACATTGCAACACTTGGCCCCAGTTTAGCAGAGCCTGGACTCACAATCACCCTAAGCCTTATATGAATCAGAGCCAAATAAGTCATTAGAGAATCACAAACACTGTCTTGGGTAAAAAATGGAGATTACCAGTGTACAACTGTGACTCCGTATATCTGTAACATCTATGTTACTTCAGTGAAATAGCAACAATCACATCAATAAAAAACACAATCTAGAAAGACCTCAATATTTATTAAAACAACAGCAACCACAATAAATTTTGTGAGACTTTAGCCATAGCACTTGTCATATGACAGAGGTCATGCTCATAAGCAGTTATCTGAGAAACTGTTAATCCCTTTTGGCAACCAATCACAGGAAAGCCAGTAAGATTCACTAACCATTAAAGCTTCAGCAACTAATTTAACTAGAACTTTCACCATTTTCAGAAAATGCAGGCTGGATAGAATCAGCATAACTATTTTCCTAAATTAATACACATATTCAATGCGACAGAATCTTTTCCTAGAAATTGACAACCTTATCTTAATGTTTATATGAAAGAGCTAAAAGGCCACAAATGATCAATTCTATTTTCAAGGCAAAAGGGTAAGGGATTCGTCTTACCAGATACACAATGTTTTAGAAAAAGGAGGAGGAGGGGGAGGAGCAAGAGGAGGAGGAGAAAGACGAGGAGGAGAAAGAAGAAAAACTCATGTAACTATGACGATGTGTATTAGTGCAGGGCTAGGGAAATGAAGCAGAGAAACAGAACACAGTGCCCAGGGATATTTATGTAGAAAGTATGATTTAGTAGTCAGAATACAAAAATAATCTTACAAATCTATGGACAAAGCCCAGTGGAAACATTTCAAACTCTCTAGTTATAAGTGAAATGAATGTTTAAAACACAAAGATCTAACTCTTCACACTCATCAGACTGACCAATATTAAAAGTTGCTCAAAAGTGTTAGGATATAAACAGGAGGAATTGTCAATAGCTAGTGAAGCTGAAGATGGGTGCAACCTACAGCCAAGAATGCCACACTTGGAGAAACCTTGTACATGTGAATGTAAGAAAATGTACACAAGAATATTCATTGCATCATTGGTTGTGATTAGGGAATAGATTTAGGAACAAGATGACCTGAACGTCAATCCTGGTACCAATCCTTAACTCTGTGAACTCAGACAAGTTACCAATCTCTCTGTGCTGTGGTTTCCTCTTGAGTGAAACAATCTCATAGCTGTTGTGAGGATTAAGTGAGTTCAGATAAACAGAGCATTAAAAATAGTCTCTAAATTTAATATTTACTGTTGTTTAATTATATTTATTTAACACATAGCTGTTATTCCAAGTTTATTAATCTACCACAATAGGAAATGATTATATTTACAAATCAGAACTTCATTCTTCCAAGCTACACTAGGTCACATGGAAATTACAGTTCTTCAAGCCTTCAAACTTCATTTCAGCTGTGGAAAACGTTCCTCAACAAAAGCTTAAGCAGAAGCAGGCAACAGGGTCCAGGATAAACCTAATCTTTCAGAAGTCAGCATGACATGCTTAATCTCCATCATGGCACCCAGATTTCAAGGGTTAATAGAAATAAGCAAAATTAAAGAAAACCATATGTACCAAATTCTAAACCTAAGAACAGGAGAGACTAGGGAATAATGTTCACGTTTTTTAAAGGAAGCACTCTAATTCCAATCAAGTGTAGTTTCCCCATTTTAATTCAAAATATGATTTGGTTGACAACATATGCACATACATACACGGCTTGCTGAAATTTTTTAGAAAATGTGCAATGTAATGAGGATATTTTATACTTGAAATATTTATTTTATAATCACAAAAGTGACAGGAAAATTAAAAATATTTTAAAAAGACTTACAAAGAGTCAAAAAATAAAAAATTCTCTTAACTTCTTTGCTTCACTCTAATAATTTCTTTCCCTGACATTTTATACACACACACACACACTCTCTCTCTCTCTCTCTCTCTCTCCCCACAGGGTATTTTAAAAGCACATAAGATTGCAATATTCATTACATATGCATAAGACCAATTTTAGTTTCATTCTTTCTTATCCATGTGTATATCCAATTATACCAATATCATTTATTAAATGACTTCCCACTGACTTAAAATGCTATTTTTATTACAGTCATAGTTTTTTTTTTTTTTCCTGGAATCTAGTCTATTCTATTGATCTATTATTCTATGTCAGTGCCAAAATCCACATAATTTCATTTACTATAGTTTTATATTATATTTTGATATCTGTAGAGAAAGTTCTCCTTCACTTCTCTTTTAAAATTTTTCTTGCCCATTACTATGGTTTCTTTTCCTCACCTCATCTTTATAATTGACTTACAAAGTTCCATAAAGTGTATTTTGGAGATTTAGATTGACACTTCTTTAAATTTATAGATTTATTTGCAAAAATGGGATATTTTCAATATCCCAAGATATGCTCTAAGAAGAAAAAAGTGGATTAGAAAAAATATATACCTTTCTTGAATACTGAATGTCAGAGAAAGGTTATTTTCTAAAGATAGATAAGTGAGGGTACTCATTTTTATTGTGAAATAGGAAGGAAAGGATAAAGTGAAAAATAAAAGCACAAACAATATGATGCATTATAGTTTAACAGATTTGATTTCGAGGCATGTCTCTTTTATCCTGTCTGGACCAAAATTTTCTCATCTGTTAAATAAGAAACTTGGACAGGATGA